TTTTGTTTATAATTCTGAACGTATTGATAATATCTGGATATTCGTTCTGTAGCTCAGCTAATAGTTGATCAGCAGAAATATCAGTAGAGACATTCCGTAACAAAACTGAGAATTGTGGTGGTAAATATTTAGGTAGAATTTTTTCATAATTTAATGTACCTAATGTTGAAGGCCAATTATTAGTATCAAATAATACTAAAAATATAGGACGATTTTTAACAAATAGTAACAATTCCCTTCTTTGTTTTAACCGATGACCATCTAATTCCAATTTAATATTATGAACTTTTGTAAAAATGATCATCTAATTCATTTAATATATCTTGCTCTTTAACATCTTGTGTAAACTTAACAATAAATGGTGGAAATGGAAATCTCGTTTCCGCATAACGCCGAGCTTGCTGTGAAGGACCATTGTCAATACCTGTAGCCAATGTAGGACCGAGAGTCGAACTGGATCCTGACATTGTAGCTTCCGCCTGACTATGTACTGTTTTGGATTTCTTTTTAAAATGTTGTAGCTCGACGCTAGAATTGTCTTGATCCATTTTTTCTGGATTATTATCTTGATAGGTACTATGTTGCCGCTGTCTTGATGACTCATCTGTTTGTTTACTTTGATCATTATTTGCTCCATAAGATGATGTAGATAAGCAATTACTAAGATACGGACTGGTGCTTTGTGATTGTGAAGAAAAAAGACGTTGATTTACATCGTGATTGCTCATCATCCTGGGTATCTGCTGCTGATAATGAGTCATGCGAGGTCATTGTTGACTCTGATTCATTTGGACAGGTGCTTTATAGCTATATGAATATTGACCTGAGTTGTTCCTTGAATATTGCGGATATTGAGGTAATGAGGTCGTAAAAGATGGATTGACAGATGCAAGATCAAACGACTGGAAACCACTTTGTGGGTCAGAAGTGGGAACAAAATGATTTACTCGTGGATCATAATGTTCTTGATATAAAGTTCCATTGGCATGTTGGATAATTGCTGAGGAGTTGTGGCCATAAGGGGCGGCCCACCCCTCTGATGATGAATTCACGGTCACGTTTTAGAGAGAAAACGTGACGTGAGAAGAAACAACGTGACCTTAAAAGGACAGGAGGAAGGGAGGAAAATGCGTATTGTGTATATAGACGTCTTAACTGTACGATGATAGAAAGAGGAATGAATTTTTTTTTTTTTTTTTTATAGCTTTTTATGCATGCATCATTAAGAGTTTATGTTTCATGTTGACATAAAAAGGAAAAA